AAGTTTCCTTCAGAAGGGGGTTTTATCTTTCCCTCCCCCCACACTAATATCAAGATTATTTTGAGGTTAGAAGCTCTTCAGGCTCTACTCTGCCTCAGAAAGCACTTCTGTTACTGGGACTAGCTCTGCTCTTCAATATATAGGAAGGACAAACCTTTCTGTTTATTTTAGAGCTGTTCAAATCCTTGTGAAAGTATTTTTCTACTTGGTCTAGTGTCCTATTTGGCCAGATTACAGAGCAAATGCTTGAGTTGCTCTTATATACCTCTTAAACAAGACCAAACCATTGGTTTTGCCTTCAATAAAGTTGGAATAATCTCACTGAATGCTTAAGGAGGTGTTTGAGGTGGGAGAGCTCAGCTCCTTCCTTTTCAGCTGAGTGAGGAGGATTTATTAGGAGAAACAAATGTGCAAATTTAACAGCTTTATTCAGATAATGGAGGATTTCAAGTGTTTTTGACACTGCTGATCACTAACTAGGATTAATAAGAGTGGGATACAAATCATCCTTAATCTAGTTTAGGGCTTGTAGCAGCTTGTGGCAAAGCCAGTGTTTTTGCTTACCTCAAAGAGCAATTTGAGAAAAGCTGTTTCCTTTTGCATATATCAAATTAAATAAATGTGGTTCCCAGTTTGGGCAGGGTGAGATTCAGCTAATAAACTATAAATCTCCCCTTCATCATGAGAGAGTACTTCAGATCTGTGCTGTAGCAGGAGGGAGCTCTGTGACAGCTGATGGAATAAGTACACATGTATTGAGACTGTGACCAAGACTGAAGAATAGTTAAAAATGATGCTTAAAAAAAAAAAATCTAGAGTATGTCAGACTTCTGGAGCCAATAATATTGCTAATGAGTTGTGAAAGCCTGGCCTATTGTTGATTAAATTGAAGATGCCACTAAGCAGCTTTCTGGTTGTCCCAGCAGAAGTGAATAACTATTGTTCTGCAACAATACAGCGCTCAGCAAGAGCAGAAGCTACCAGTCACCCCAGGGTTTCCCCTAAACAGGCTGCTTTGATCCTTGGGGAAGGGGGTCTTCTACTGGTTAATACATATCCAAAATATCGTTAAAAATTTTACCCCTCACATGCAACTGAATTCAGTAACAGCAAATCAAAAGGACTGGGCAAGTATTTCTAACCAGTTGTCTCAATGGCTGAAAAAAAAACCCAACAAAAACATATGAGCTTGGTAAAAAAGCAACGTGTTATAGGTGCACTGTAAGAATTTAAAGTTTGTTGACTAGAAAACATGAGATACCACCAGAGATCCTTCAAAGGATCCACTGCCTGAACTTAGATGTGTTTATCCAACGTCTCTCTCATCAATTACTGTGTGAATGGTCCACAAATAGTCTTGGTGGGCTAATATACAAACTGGATGATGATGGAAGTAATTTCTAAAAGCATGTCCGTGTTTGATTATATTAATCTGATAATAAAATTTTGAGCTAGAGCAATGCCAAGTTGTTGGTAGAGTAAGCTTGTTTTAAGCTGGAATTTATTTTCAGCTCTTTTGTATGATAGCATGACCTGGTGACTCAACCTGGATTCTGTGCCCCTAATCCTCTTGGCTAATCAAAACCTTTCCCACTGGTGTAACTCAGCTGCAGTAAAAGGTCATGGAAAAGCCTTGACCATGAGGTGTTTGTTGTTTGAACAGCACAGTCCATCTTCCTGATGCAAACCCAAATTAGTTCAAATCCCTTCCGAAGCTGTCCTGAGTGCTTTATGTTAACCTTGCTGTGTCTGAAATCCTTCAGCAGCAGATCATTATAGAAGCATGACCTTTCTGCAGTACTTGTATTTTGTGGTGCCATAAGGAGAGGTTACTGCCTCTTATGCCCATTGAATGTGTAATCTATGGAGAAAAAATGTAGTCTTTATATAACCATACAGTTACATAAATTAGGCAAATGTTCCTTAATACTAATCTGTCATGAAACTAGATGATCTCATAAAGTTACATCACCTTGTGGGTATTCTAACTGCTATCCACGTGTGTGTAATCTTATACTGTCCCTTGAGTGTTTGGGACAAAGAAAGTCCCTCTCAGTTCCCAAGCTTTAAACTGCCTGGTCAAGGGGAGATGCCACAACAACAGAGGAGCAGCTTGGGACAGGAGATAACAAGAGACAACTAAGTAGAAGGACACACGTAGTGGAACTTCACTAAGTTTTCATATAAAACTGTGGAAAGCAGACTTTATTAATCCTGATGCATGTTTTCTATTATTCTCTTAAGTGTAGAAGCCAACCTCAGGGGACAGGAACTGGTCTGAGTCTGCCTTTGTGTTTGCAGGGTGAGTGGTGAGCAGCAGCTGGACACCTCTACACTGGAACACCGTGGGTCTCCATTGGTTTAACTGGGCTGCTCTGGGCTTTCCCCTTTTGAGGAGGACCTAGCTATCCCTCCTCAGATACAGAAATCAAACTAGGGTTCAAACAAGTACATAACAAAGGTTATGGAGAAGCAGAACATGCAGTAGCCTGGGAAGAGGCTTAGAGCTCGAGTGTAAGGGGAAGTGTAAGGGCAGAGTGGCTGGACACACTCGATAACAAGAAAGGAAGCATGGCATGACTAACAAGCTGCCTCGCCTGTTAGCCCCACAAGGGCAAGGGATGCAGGCTCAATAGTCAAGATCAAGAGTTCCTATTTCATTTATTGACAGTCTATGATCCTTTCAGGAGGGTTTGTTAAGGTCTGCAGACCATCAGCCTGTCCAGGTGTTCTTGGAAATCCAGTATGAGCTACCCCTGGAGATTCAGATCTGGGGGGAAGTTAGTCTCTATCCTAGAGAAAGTTATTGGCAGTCCCTTTCTTCAATGAAAAGCTGGAGAGATTATTTTTCTATCTGCTTCAATGTAGAATCTCCTCACTGGGAGGAGAATGCACGCGCACACACACCCTTTTCCCCTTCTGCAATGCGTCCCCCTTTTGCACTCAAACAGGCTGAGTGGAAGAACAAAGGGTTGTGCTTTCCTCTGCTAGTGCAAGAAGTGAGGGAGAAAAACGGTCCTCAACCCCCCATCAACAAAAATGGTGCAATTCCTGAAGACTGACTTAGCTTCCGAATGTACTGGAAAGGGCGAGGGAGATGAGTTTGGGAAGCCTGGCAGTTCTTTCTTTATTCTTTATGCACCAACAGTTTGTACTCTTTAATATTTGAAGTGTAGTGAGATCAGCTTGTGTGAGTCACCACCCTTCGACACGAGAAGGAAAACATAGGGGAAGTACTTATCTGACCTACTTTCTGTGGAAGACTGCAAAAGCACAGTGCAAACAAGCAGGGACAAATCTAAAATTCCAAATTACCTCATGACAGGCAGTTAAGCAAGCGATCGAAGGGCAATTTACTCTAGATTTATGTTTGCAGAAGCTTCAGGAATAGGGTTTTGGGGGGTTATTTTCAGTAGGGAAGGAAAGTGCTAAAATGTTTATAAGATGATTTTGTTGCTACTTTCTTGTTATTAAAGAAAAAGTCATCTAACTACAATGATTGCCTAGAAGGGATAAGATCTTGGACCTGATCAGGTTGGTGGCAACTTGGATACTTGTCTTCAGAGAGGTCAAATCTAATGGGCTAGTTAACCACCTTGGAAACTACTTGTTCCATGGAAATGTGAGGAATGGATAAGATATTAAGGATAGAAGAGAAAACTGGATAAACCTGGTGTCATAAAAAGAATGAAAAGGAGATAAGGCCAATAAACATATCCATTGTAGGTAATAAAGTGACAACAGAGAGTACTACATACTAGTGCTGGCTAACTTCTTGGAATGAAGATGAGTGTTATATTCATTTTTAAGTGAAACTATGTTAATGCAAGCTAGAGAAATACTATGGGCCTGGTTGCTGTGAAGAATGCGTGTTCTTTTTTACATAATAAAAAAAGATTTCCCACTCCTTGAGATGCCAGGGATCCCACAGCTTGGATGATGCAATGCAACATCTAAACTTGCAGATGGGACAATGCTGGAAAGGGGTGACAAAGGCATCTCGAGGATGGGATAGAAGTCAAAATTTGGGAAACAGGGAATGTAGTTGGATAGGAAAAGATAAAATTCAGGAAAAGTGACTTATAGGGCTTTGGTTTGAAATCTGAGAAGGGTGAATGACTTGTTAGGTAGCCCTACAGAAATAAACCTGAGGGCCAGTCACGAGCTGAGAGTCAGGCATGTTGTACTGATAGGAACAGTAAGCGTATACAGCACAAGCTAACAAGATTAATGAAATAATCACTCTGAAGTAATTGGTAAACACTAAAATAGCGTTGTCTTCTTTAGAGATCGTGAGCAGCTTTGAGCATTGTGTGCAATGACAAACAAGTGCCATAGAACAGGAGTTTGGCCTCTTGTTTCAGCAACCGAACTTCTATGCTGGTCAGTGTACTCCTTGGAGCATAAATGGAGAAAGCTCAGGGCTGTATTCTCCTACAGGGAAGGCTGGCTCCTGAACTTAGTTTGAGTGCCCACACTTATAAAACAGGGCTCTCATTCTACTTCCAGTTAGATGTTGTAGTTTCAGATATGTGAACAGTGTTTGAGGGGCTCAGAAAGGGAGAGAAGGCAAACTACTTTGTCTCCCTTTCTTTTCTGCTTCTTAGAATTAATGCAGTAACTTGCAGATGAAGTGGTTGGTAGATAGGGAAGACACGACTGGTCAGCACTTGACACAGACTGGTTATGTTGTGTAAGGACTGAGTGTCACTACCCGGATGTAGCTCTGAATGGATTCCTTGTGTTCTTCTTTCCCAAAGCAAGTGTAGCCTGGAAGCAGTGCAGACAAAGGAGACAGCAAGACTGACCTTTCCAATACCAAACAGAGTAACTGGAACTACTCTTTTTGGGAAGGGGGCTGGAACAAAGGAAGATGAAAAAATGCAATCTGAACAAAGGAAGTTTGTGTAACCTCTAGGAGCCCTTAGAGGACTCGGTGCAAGCAACAGGATAACTTTAATATCATCACTGACACACCTTTTTTCTCCTTCTGTTTAAAGCAAACTACAAATCTGAATCTTCCTCCTGAAGACCTTGATTCATCTGGTGATGAAGATGATGCATTCTCAGGTTCAGGTGCAGGTGAGTTACTAGCACTTGTACTGTTAGTGGTTGATCCTTCTAGAATGTGGCAATTGAGATCTTGATGAACATCCAAGTGAAGGGGGGTGGAGGGAGGAATCACACACACACAACCCTGCCCCAGAATATGAGAGCTGGGAACAGAGAAAGAGCCTAATCTATTAATCTTATATTGCTTGAGATACTAACAATTAGCAGAAAACGAGTTGTAGGAGACTTGAAAGGGAGCAGAAGTAGGTAGACTCCGTGTGACTGCTAATGTGAAATGTTGTGTGAAGAATGTTATGAAACTCGAGTGATTCTTTACTCATGGGCAAAAGAGACCATAAGAAGGGCCTTTATGAGCTGATAGGAGATACCATTTGAGGGTGTGTAAACCCCAACCTACCAACATACATCAAGAGGAAAATTTTATCTGTCATCAGATGTGCATGTTCCCATGGGCCATAATTTTTTATAAGCAGAATGAAGGGGGTTTAGGGTGGGGAAAAAGTCTATTAAAATGATTGCTAAACTACATGAGAGAGATCTTTATTAGTGTTCAGTGCTGAAGTTGAGGAGATGCTACTAGAAAAGAGCAAGCTATCGAAAGCTGAAGCGTGGTGTCCTTCTGCTTCCCTCCAGCCACAGGCTTGTATTTCAGATTAAATTCTGCAGGAATAACACCCTGAAATTGGTGCCAAATGTGCTAATGACTAAAGATGTGACTGCTCTGAATCAAACAAAAATGTTAATGTGAAAAGAGTCAGCTAACCACCCTGAGGAACCACTGTACTGAAAGCAGACTTCCCCCTTGTCAGCCTCACCGCAAACAGACTGGCACTTTGCTTTGGGGAGAAGCAGATGACTAACAAAGTGTTGCTGATAGCATGTTGATCTGTCCCTTCCTTATTCCACAGAAAAGGATGAGGAATTACAAACTGAACTGCTGTTATTATGAAAATTGCAGTTTAGGCATCCTCCTTAGACCAGTGTCCTGAAGATACTATTAATAGGTCTCTCTAAACTGGGCAAGGATAATACTTTTTTTTGGTTTTGCAGGTCCTCTGACTGACCAGTCTCACACCTGGAGAATCGCAGGAGAACTAACTAATTCCTCAGTACTGGCAACACCAGTGGACTTCAACGAGCAGCTATTTCCTGGGATTGAGAGCCGAACTGAAAAGGAAGCAGTATCTCCTTCTGCAACTAGTAATCTGGTGACAGAGGAACCAGTTGTAGCTGTGAAGGACGAAGTAGCTGTCCTGGGCTCACCCGATGGGAAACCAACAAGTGATGTGGTCACAACAACAGTGAGAAGCCCCACCACTCATTTTCCTTCAGTGGTTCATGTAACTCCTTCAGAAGCCTCAGGTGTAGTCCATGAGCTCGAACCTAAAATCCCCAGCTCTGATGTACCAGACACTAAAGATGTTCCTGAGCCCCACTCTACTGTCCATCATGAGGGAGACATCGCTGCCATCCCCACGACGACAGCTCCAAAGGATGTTGTTCCTACACAAGAGGAGGTTTCTGAAGATGGCTCTGGAGATCCGGTAGGGACTAACAGTTTTGACACCCTTTCTAGGGAGATGGCTTAGTAGTATGCAATCAGTTAATTTGGCAGGAAAGAACAGTAATTTATCAAAAACAATGATTGATTTAATAGGTTGTATTGGTGGAGGGTTTTAGATGAGAAAAAACAAAGCTGTGGAAAGTCTCCAGTAACAGACATAATGAGAAACATGAATAACCTGCCTTTTATGTCCCAACAGGGAGACTTCATCTTGACTAAAGATGAGGATTTGGTTCCCACCCAGAACTCAGAAGTACTGGCTGACTCTGGGAGGAATGCCAAAGCAGCAGGAGCCTCAGGAATTATGGACAGAAAAGAAGTTCTTGGAGGTACCAGATATTCTGGATTTCTAGTTGGTAAAAGCAGATTCCTATAGGAGTCTCCAGGCAGCAGAAGCTGCAGGTCTGCAAGTACATCTCTGTTGGCATCTCTGAAGCCAACCCTTTACATTAGACCTCTGAAATGAGGGTGGTCATTCACAATTCTGTGTTCTCAAATCCGTAGCAAGGGCAGATATTGTCTGCAAATGCCAGCCAGCAGCAGCTGCTTTATCTGCAACTTTATGTTTAAACCTATTCCTTCACTCCTCTCAAAAATTACAGTTAAATTGCTCTGTTGCTGTCTGGATCAAATTACTAGGGTTGAACACCAGAGCCTTGTGTGCTTTGTAGTGTGGCCTGGTGGGAGATCCGTCCCTAGGATTGGCTAGTGTAGATAAGTAGGTGCTTGATAATGGCAGGGTGACTGGGAGGGGGCAGTAGGACAAATTAATTTCTGGAACAACGTGGAACTTAAAATCATAGCATTATCTGATGTAGCATCTGGAGTAATTTATCTTTTTCTCCCTTTCTAGGTGTTATAGCTGGAGGACTAGTAGGCTTGGTGTTTGCGGTGTTTCTAGTTGCATTTATGCTGTACAGAATGAAGAAAAAAGATGAAGGCAGCTATTCACTGGATGAACCAAAACAGTCTAATGGAGGATACCAAAAACCACACAAACAAGAAGAATTCTATGCATAAACACTGATCTTCAGGACACTTCTTATTCCATCTTTCTTGGATTCTTCTCTCCCTGCACGTGGACCTCCTAGTGTGCTTTGCATTAAACTTAAGCCATATGATCATTGGGTTATTTGCCCTTACCACTTTGCCATTGGAAATCTTATAACTACAAAGTAGATCTGGATTCATTGAACATTCCCCGCTTTCCTGCACTTTTTTTTTTTTTTTGAACAGAATTGGGACTGCAAGTTCCTAAACTCACTTTGGTTTATCTAGAGACTGCTGGGGCAGGCGGTGGGGAGAAGACAAGGGAGCACTGTGTGTATAGAACTATTGATATTTAGGGAAAGGGCTAGAAAGAATAAACAGTTATCAGTGCTCGAATTCTGTATAGCAGGGATCCTTCCTATTTAACTCATAGATGTGTTTTGAGTGTAACAAGTGTCTGTGCTGTGCAGACATTTGGTATGCTGCAATCCTCTAGCTCTTTATGGCCGCTGTATTTGGAGCACTTAATGCCTATTAAACATCAAGCTGAACACGATTTCTAGTGAAAGTTGGTGTGAGGGGCAGAGTAAACAAATGACTGTCACATGGTTTAAAATAACTTATATTTTGGAAGCATTATCCCATCTCAGAACCAGCTCCTAAGCAGTTGGTACATAGATAGCAAAAAAACAAACCCTGAAGACCCCAAAACTATGTAGAGAGTTAATTTTACCAATAGTGTTGGACTGTCCCACTACCCTCTTGCTCTTTCAAGACTTAGGTAAGTAGATTTTTCTAAGCAGTCTCATCTCAGACATTCCCTTTGTTAGGTGCTGAATCAAGGCTGGGCTGTCGTGCTGTTGGTGATCTCACCCCGCGCTACCGTGCAGTCGGCAGGTGACTGGTGGCGTGCTGTGGCACCTTCCTCTCCATGGTCACAGTGGTTGTTTCAGAACCTGGTCTGCCATCTATGCCACGGGATGCCTTGGCACACAGGGGTGGGAGATAGAAAGCAGCACGTGATGACTTTGCAGCTGAGGAGCAGAGAATTCTCTGAAATGAGTCTGGGGAAGGCTGAGTGTAGATAGCCTTAAACAGACACAACAGTTTGTGTGCTTGACTCTCGCTGCTCCGGAACAGCTCTTCAGAAGCTGTTCCTGCACTTTGGAGAGAAGCAGCTCCAGGGATGTCAGACTAGTAAGGGCCAAAAAATGCTTTCTAAGAAAAGTCCGGGTGGCTGAAGCTGTGTATGGTCAGTGTGTGCCAGATGCCAGGCACTGAGGCCTCACTGAGGGTCTGGAGCTCTCCAGAGTATCTCAAACCGAGTGAGAAGACAAGTGTGGTGTTCTGTACAAAGCCTTACTTCTGCTCTGCCTTTGGGTAGCTTCTTGCCAGTTCAGTTCCTCATCACTCAGTGCAGAAGGTATGGGGTGGGTGGAGGAGTGTTTACAACTGATGTAAATATTTGTACTGTTGAGCCAGAGGGAATGATTGGAGAATATTGGAGAATACTGCAACAGTTGGTATAAATGTTGCACATTAACAGTCAAACTTTAAAACCTGTGTAATTTAAATGAAGTATAAAACACTCCTGAGCTGCTATGCAGCTAAAATTGGTGCCTTCTCTGCAAACCCAAGAAAAGAACCCAAAACTTCATGATTCCAAACTCTTCTTTATGCACAGAGGGCTTGTGCATATGTGTAGCTGGCTGTTTTTAAGTAAAGCTGCAACAACCATTATGTATTTTCTTTTCTTTTTCTTTTTTTTTTTTGGTTGTTGTTGTTGTTTTGGTTTTTTTGTTTTGTTTTGTTCTGTTTTTGGTTGTTTCTTCTTTTTTTTTTTTCTTTTTTACTGAATGAATTTTTATAGGTTAAATGCAATGACCAGATGGTGTTAATTTCAGCTGTAATTCTTTGCTTTGTATAGGAATGTAGAAATGTTGTTTGATAGGTCTATCTATGGAAAGGTTCTTGTAAAGCACAGGAAGATAAAGTAGTAAACTTCAGTTGTACCTCACAACCTTGTTAGGGGGAAAGGAAAAAAAACTGTATATTTTGGTAGTCTTAACTGACAGTTTGTGAAACAAACATGACATTCTGTGTTATTTAAGTGGTACAAATGAGACGAATTCTAACAGAAGATGCAACATTCGGTTATCTGTATGCCATGTAAGGGTATACTGCAATAAATGGCATTTTGGCAAGAATGTGTCTGATTGGTGAACATTGATCTTTATAATACTTTAAAAAATAGGTGTGGTTTTTAAGACTGCCTAGGTCTTTAAGGAATTTGGATTCCAGAAGTGTGAATTTTTGGGCTAAAGATATGGAGATTCAGCTCAGCATTTGAGGGGTAAGAGAGTGGCCTCCTTCCCTCTCACCCTGCCTTGAGTGTCCTGGTTGCAGTGAGCTGCTCTACCCAGATGCAGTGGTGTGGGATAAATGGGCTGTGGTGGAGACTGAAGGATTGAGTTTAGAAGACTTGCCTCCTTAGCTAAACAAAACTGGAAGGTGCTTTCTAACTTCATGCCAACTTTGCCAGTTCCTTAAACTGGGTGAAAGGCTTGTGTAAGATCAGAGTTGGCTGGTTTGTGTTGAAGTGCCTTACCAGCTATGAATTCTCTTCTTTGGGGGTTTACCAAGACTTTTGCTTCCGCTTTTCTAATCAGTGATACTGCAGGAAATTAAGGTGGCAGGGAGGGAATAAAATGAATTGCTGAGGGAAGTTTCTATGTGAAAACCCTTACAACACTTGCCTCATCCTTGTTGTGCACTTGAGAGAAACTTCATTGTACCAAGAGTGAATAATTTACAGGAGGGCTGGTCTGCCTCTGTACTCTGACACAGGTTAGCCTGGGTTTTCCTGACTCACATTTCTGTTCACTGTGCTTCCTGACTTTCTTCTTCATCCATGCTGGAGCAATTATCACATTTGCTCTTGTTCACAAGTGAGATGCAAAGAATGTGGCTGGCAGAAAAACTTGACCCCTTCTTTGTTCTGGAAAAATGAGCTGGAGGGTATAAATGCACCGAATGTCAAAGGCGGCAAACTATGAGAGAAGGGGGACTTTACACAATTCTCACGTTGTCAGGTTGTATTAGAGCCTATAAAGGAAGCTAAAGCAAATCTAAAAGGCTGTATAATCTTGTAACTGGAATAGAGAACAAGAGAAAAAAAAAAAAGAGGGCCACTCTACAGGGGTACTGAGAAGAAAAACTATTTCAGGCATTTCATAAATGCCTCATCTGAGTCTTCATCAGGCCTAGCATGTATATTGATGAAAATGAGTAGTGGAATAAAGGGGCAAGGTGAAATTTGGTCTATTTGCAATAGCTGCAAAACTAAAAAAAAACAAAACTCAACCTTTTAAATATGCAGGAGATGAGATAGAGGCTCAAAACCAAGTAGTTACTTGGCATTCTGGGGTAGTGTTTAGCTCATAAAACTGGCAGCCTGATGGACAGAATTTTTGATAAGCTTATCAAATTAGAAGACAGCAATTTTATTGCAGAAAATTAAGTGCAGTGTCTTCTCTAAGAAAAGAGGAGAGAAAAGGTGTGACCTCTGCAATATGCAAGGTCTTTCAAAAGGATCTGATGGATAGAGGAATTAAAAGGTAGGATGCTGATACACAAGACAAAATATAAAATAGATTCAGCAAAAGTGGATTGCGCCAGATCTCTTGCTTTTTAAGAGCAGTTTTTTCAGTCAAAGGTAATATTTTCTAATCGAACTTCACTAAAGAAAGTTCTCAGTGCCACGCAGAAAATGAATAATCCAAAAGAGGAAGCTGGGGATTAGTGGAAGAGCAGAAGGCTCTGCAAGGCACAGAGTTAGGGACACCTCATTTTGCAGACATCTCTCTAAATACTGTCTGAAATGGAAGGGAATACACAGAATTACATTAGCCACTGGGAATTTGGGCACCCTTGATAACTTAGAATAGACTAATGTTCTGACAAATAAGAATTAGGATTAACTTCAGTAGGACAAGGTCAGGCTTGGAGGGGGTAACAAAAGGAATTTCTGCTCTAAGATGGGAATAAGAGGGGAAGGAAGGGCTAGGTAAATTAGTCAATTTTAGAATAATTATGTGTGATGTAGCTGTAAGAAAGGAAAAAAATAAGTAAATACAGGATGTAGTAACCAGCAAGTATTTCCAGCAAGTGGGGGGAATTGTTGGCATCATGGGTATTGCTTTACTAAGAATTGGTGAGCCCTTACAATCACCTACATGCTCTAGGATTAATTAATACTAGGAAGGAACAGAAGAAAACAATTAAAATGATGGGGGAGTACAGAGTCTCTTCCCACAGTAAACTCACAGTGTTTGGTTTGTTCAGCCCAGGAAAACACAGCCTGACGGGTCCTGCGATTGCTGTCTGCATGCTTGTCATGGTACAGAACAATACAAAGGATGGGGATGAGCAATTTAGGCTAAAGAATAATATGGGAACAAGGGGAAAAAATAAATTGGCAAGTGTAACCATTAATAAAATTCAAAACCTTGAGAATTCTCATTTGGTAGGGGGGAATTAAAGATCAAAAGGGATTGAATACAGAGTTTGATGTTCAGGAAGATTATAGTATAAAATGTTCCTGAGCCAGGGGATGTCTTTCAGCCAGTAGTCTACACAAGGAACAGAGACTAGTTAAAAATCCTTCCTCTCTTTCTTATACTGTTTTTATTTTTTTTTTATGTACTCTAGCTTACTCTCCTTCCCCTAGTGTGCTTTAGCATGGAAAAGCAGATGGGCAGCCTTCTGGACCATTCTTTGAGATGATAACAAAAGATAATTGGGACCAATGTGCTCTGCTTTGTGCACACACACATATATGTACCTGTGCTTATGTGTGTGCATCTGCATGGACACATAGGTACGTGCTAATGAGAAATCAAAACAGGAACTAGGGAAGGGCAACCACTAAATTTAAAAAAGTCAGAAAATATTAAGTGCTTTTAAAAGTAGAAAATCATCCTCCAAAATGGCATAAAGCAAAGAATAAACAGGCATGATTTAAAAGTAAAGATTAGCATTTGGATAGATCGTGGATCTCAGAGCGCAGCTGTTCTGGTTTAACCAAAACCATGTGACTTTATTGTATAAAAACGTCCTCAGCATGAACCCCTACTTGTCTGAGCCAGCCATCAAAGCATTCCTGACCCCTGATAACCTGCGTGGGAGAGAGACGTATGCTCAAGACGCGCCACCAGTCCAGGGGTCCCCCAAATTGTGGTACTTCTGAGATATGCAATTTATTTCCAAATGTGCAGAGAAAAACAATCACAAAACCCCAAACCTCAAAAAATCCACCACTAAAACCTATCACACCTGCCTTACCTCTGGGAGTCATAGGCAAGAGCCATCTAGATTCCTTCTGCACACAGAACTAGGGCTGCTGCAGGTGATTAAGGTGAGGGCAGGGCCCTTGAGCAAAGGAGTGGGGCAGCCTGGAAGAAACTTACGCTGATGCCACCAGTGCATTTCTTCCTCTAAATAAAGCCTGGGAACTCTTACCTTAACTGACTGGGTAGGGATTTTCCTCGTGTGGTAAATCAGGTTGCATCTCTTTCTGAAAGGAGAGAGTTTGAGTACCAGCAGAAATTCAGCACTAGCTGAGAAATGCAGGTTCTGAATGAGGTATATCTCTTTTCTGTGGCACCTGACTCCCATCAGATTTGGATGTAGTATATGCTGAGGGCAAGGGGCTGCTCCTCTGGAGATGCTCCAGGCTGTTGTAACTTCCTAAGCAAGAGCACGTGCTATTCAAGAACACACTGCTGTGCTCAGGTGGTGTGCTAGGTGCCATTCCCCATTGTATGAGCCAGACTGAAAGGAATAACATAATTTGTTGTTCTAACAGGTATGCACAGACTGCCTTATGCAAAGCCCTAGCTGAGGAAATCTTAAAAGTGTTGTGCAGAACAAAATCAAACCAACTGTAACTAAGACTGAAATAATTTCAAAAGGCCATTATTGTCTTTTAACATACACACACCCCTGCCCAAGTAGACCCCCTCAAAATAAGGCAGATTTTGCAGACAAAGAAAAGGTTGGCATGTATCCAATCAAGGGAGTGGATGGCCCATCTAATTGGTTATCCAGCCATACCTGGAGGAAATCTGAAAAGTTGCCTTTGCTGGCAATCAGAAATCACCTCAGTCATCCACCTTCTGTGGTCAGAGGCCTTCAAAGCCCAGCTCCAAATGGACACCAGATCTTGGCCAGCCCTTCAGGGACTGTCACGCGGAGTGAGTAGGACTGTACGTGCAGCTACACGCAGCACACAGCCCTGATGATGGAAGAATCAGTCATTTCTCATTCAGTACATTCAGGCCTGAAGTTGCCTCTATGAGTAACTTGAAACAGCAGTTCAGTGTTCAGTCTTTATAACACAGAGCAATGGGTCAAGAAGGACCTCTTGGAGTTTTACTGTTCTCAAGGTGGCACAAGGGAAAATATGGCCATTTTGGAACTACATTACCTGCCTTTTATTCAGATTGAAAATGTGGCTTTATTATTATCATTATTTATGTAGTACTGGAGTAAAAGACAGTGTGCATGTGCTCTTGAAAATGCTGGTTGAGTCTGCTCTTCCTGCTTAAATAGTGCTGTTAATGTTTGATAGCAGCCGTTTGAGAACAGAACTGTTTATTGTTCTCAGGAGGTGGCTTGTCTTTTTTGTTTTATATATATATATGTATACTGGAGCCTGGCTGCAAGTTTCTGAGGCATGACATAAATTATTAGAGCCCTGCTCAGAAGTGTTGTCAGTTTTAAGTATTCTTTTCAGATGTTACCATCTCTACTTCCAACCCAAACCCTTCCTGCAGAAGTGCAACTCCGTGCGCTCGCACCGCTCTAAGGAGTGGTTGTGTGGTTACTCCACAGTGAGGATTAGTCACACATTAACCACAGCTGCAAAAACATGTCTATGGGAAAATCACAGCCAAACACTGAGGGCCTTTGAGTCTGCTTCTTGTTACCGAGGAGGTGGGTTTCTGTTCCATTTTGCTTCAGCACTGTGCAACTTATAGCTGGCCTGTTCACTTTGCTCTCAAGATGCGTTGTAGCTTTTCCTCTGGCACTTCTCTACCTCCTCCACTTCCATGGATGATTGGTCTACAGACATCTTGCAGCTAAAGTAGAGTCAGCCAGTGTTTCTAAAACAGCAGGCCTTGGTAGGGGAAGGGATATTCACACTGT